AGCCGCCTAGCGAGGAAGGTCTTCACTGCTGGCAAACTGCTGGTGCGGCAGTGCAAAAATTAATAGCCAGCATCATCATCAGCAGTTGGGTGTGATGAGATATTGATCAGCCACCCAGATTGGCCTGCGGTGCAGGGGTCTTCAGCTCCACACAGCAAGCTGCCACGTGGCACTGTAGATGGCCACGTGCGCAGGCAGCAGCAGCCACGGGAGGAGGGGGGGGGGGGTAAATAGCTGGCACATCACTTCTTCAACAAGAGTGTGTCGCACTACAAAGTCATACACACATTGTAACCAGTTTGTTATGGCAGCAGCTACGCACGTGCATGGCTAGCAGCTGGTCAGGTTCAAACCCTGGCAGCAACATGCACCCCAGATCTTCATATACAGGGCGGGGCAGGGCGGTGTGGGCACGTGGCGCGTGCCTGTGCGGCGGCCTTGGCCTTGTCACTTCTTCCCTACTGGGCCTTTGGTCACGTTTTCCCGCTGTTTTTCTCTGCAAACGGCCGAAAAATAGCCAAAAAAAACAGTGTCGGGTTTTTCAGTATTTCCTGCTATGCGGTGTGGTGGGTGGGGGTGGGAAACGTTCACGCTCTGATACCAGTGTGGCGGACCCACCAGGTGTGGTGCTCCGCTTGGGATAGAGATGGAGATGCAGGATGAGAGTGGAGCAAGATGGCACATCGCATCTTCCACCCGAGACTCCAGCGCACATACTCCAAACCGTGCGAATGTAGAATCACCCCAAGTACATACTCTGGMTGGGGATACCCCAGCGGACTGACTGGACTAGACTGGACTAGCTGGTACCGAAAGAGGTACCGGCCTGGACTTAACTACACCAAATACAACACAGACCTGTGAGAAYAGGCGAAGGGGTTGGTCTCACAGGCCAACCAGAGGTCCGCTATAGGCGCAAAGGCAAAGGACTAGATGGTGTCACCCGAGTAGGTGTCCGGCCACGGGCAACCTGAAAAATGAGTGCCCTTAGGAACAATGAAAAAAAGGGCTAGAAGAAAAGAGCCTAAACTTGAGGGCTCACTAGGCCTTGAAACTGAGAAGGAATGCAAAGGGAATGCAGCGGACCACAAAGAAATTTCAATACTATGAGAGAAAAAGCCTTGGCGGCTAAATAACACTAGAGAAGAAGGCTCTAGGCATGGGGGTCATCGGCGACAATAAATGGTGACCGTGAGATTAGAGACCCCTCAACCGAGAAGGTCCGCACACTTGGGACAAAGGATAGAGCGAAAAATTGGGCTGTCGAGGAAGTGGAAATGCCAAGAAAAAACGGGACACCATGGGCAAAGGTGTCGGGAACCATATCAGACTAAGTAAAACATGTTATTCGTTAAACTATGAGATTATATTTTAAATTGGTACTCGCAAGCTATTAATTTCATGTTAAAATCATCATATTTTGGACTTGAATGAAACTTAGGATACGAGTAGTGAACCCGAAGAATGCAATTGACATGTCATAAATTGAAACTGAAGTGAAAATTCAAGGCAATCACGTACTGAACATTATGGTTTAAGTGTGGATTCCATTGCACTTCCATAAATTTTGTAACTTAAAAGTCGTTACGGTAAATTCACATGGAGTTGTCAGAAATTGAAACTCAAGAGAAGTTCAACACTCAATGCAATTAGACATTAAACAACAATSTTGAACTCTCGATTTCATCACACGTTCATCAATTTTATGTGAACATTGAGTAAGACCTATTTTACATGAYATTTAAGGCATGATTGGTACCATGGCTATGATCCGGACCCCCGGAAAGGGATCCGGAGCCTCCGGGATCCGGGATCCGGTACCACTTTYCGGTAACYGGTCCGGATGGAGGCCCCCCAGGCCAAMGGAAAWTTTTTTTTTGGGCGGCCCAGAGCGTTTTTTCCCGCCTTGGGCCGCGAAGAAAAATTGCCCCTTATTTTTTCGGCCCTTTCGCGACCGTCCGGAAGGGGCGGAAAATAYGTTGGTGAACTTGGTTACTTTTTTTTTTTTTTCGAATCGGAGGGGGGGCAGKTCACCGCCGCCATTTTTCGAAGGGAGTGTTCTTGGCCCGCGCCAGTTTTCAAACTCGTCCCCCTACGTGCACGCGTGGAGCAGCGTGAGGAGCAGCGCGTGGAGTAGCGAGGGCGTGGAGCATAGAGCAGCTGTGTGGCGACGGGCGACCAGCACGTGGAGCTGAGCGTGCAGCAGGGTGAAGCAGGTGCGTCTCTCTCTCTCTCTCTCTCTCTCTCTCTCTCTCTCTCTCTCTCTCTCTCTCTCTCTCTCTCGCGTCGTCGTCGTCGTCATGTCCGTTGTATTCGTCGTCGTCCTCTTCCTCCTCCGCTCTCTCTCTCTCTTTCTCTCTCTCTCTCTCTCTCTCTCTCTCTCTCTCTCTCTCTCTCTCTATCTATCTATCTATCTATCTATCTATCTATCTATCTATCTATCTATCTATCTATCTATCTATTTCTCTCGCGTCGTCGTCGTCGTCATGTCTGTTGTAGTCGTCGCCTTCCTCTTCCTCCTCCGCTCTCTCTCTCTCTCTCTCTCTCTCTCTCTCTCTCTCTCTCTCTCTCTCTCTCTCTCTCTCTC